AAGATGTTCAGTCGTGCGTCAACAGTAGAGGTGGAAGAACTAACAGAAGAACAGCTCTGCCTTATGTTTATTCAGTTACAGCTGGTTTTATAGTTCAGAAATAACTAGAAAAACAACATTCTGACTGTGAGCGGGGTCGCCTCTCCGCAGATCTGACCTGTAAATTGGTCTAGTTTGGTCTCCATGCAGATAGAAAGGTTTAATGCCATACTGTGAATCATTCCAGACAAATCTCCACGAAGAAAAGCGTTTGAAAAGTTACACAAAACACCAAAAATACTCAAAAGTATCACTTGAAAAACTTCTGACGCCTTTTAGAGTAAAAAGTAAAAGTATTTTGGACAGATTTTGAGATCTATTAAATCATCACGTGTTGATTTTCTACCTGTTTTTATTTGTTTGCATATTTTTGTTTACTCAGACTAAAAAGTTGCGAATAATAAACCCGTCAGGTCTCAAACTACAAGAAAAAATACTTTTACTTTTCAGTGCACTTGAATCATTTAGTAGAGTAGAAAGTACAGATACTTTTCTCAAATGTAGTGAAGTAAAAGTAAAAAGTACCCACCCTTTTACTTTTGTACTTGATAACTTTCCACCACTGATGCCTATAAATGTATAAAAGTATAAAAAGTGTAAAATGAACGTCGCTCTTAACCCCGCGCGTCTCGTCTCAGCCCCCACCATAGAGTTCGAGCAGGCGTCCTACCAGGTCCGAGAGCCCCCGGGTCCAGACGGGGTCCAGGTCCTCAACGTGAAGGTGGTCCGACGAGGAGACCTGGACCGGACCTCCAAGATCCGCTGCAGCACCCGGGACGGATCGGCCCAGTCCGGAGTGGACTACAACCCCAACAGCCGCGTGCTCCGCTTCACCCCAGGTCAGACCCCTGCACACTTTTATATTTGTATGTGGTTTTCAGATTCTAGAACGTGATGGTGTCATAGTCCCAAATGGAGGCAAAGGTCAGACTTTAATAAAACTGTCCAAAAGGTAAATGTATGAATGTTCAACCTGATCATTGGTGTTTATCTCGATCTTGATACTGAGGAATAGACTCAAAACTCAGTACTGATTTCAGTATCATGATGATAATGAAAAACAGTTTTGGGTTTTTTTTAATAGAATGGGATTTTCAACAGTAAATAATAATAAGACTTTATTTTATATATGTTGTAAATTCGAGTTACAGTTATACTTCTGTTTATTTAGATCAGGCATTCATAGGCAGCTCAGGGGTCCTTGGGAGCACCATGGTAACTCTGTCACTGTTACCATGGTGACGGTGTCACTTGTGGCCTAACTGCTGCAGATTTTTTTTTTTTTTTTTTGAACAGGGTTAGTGTATATTAATGAACATCTACAACACTGCAGTGTAAATGTGACAGATTATAACAAAAATGCTCATTTCCATCTGTCGTCCCTCAGCAGGAAACACCACAAATTTAACAGAAAAAAACAACAATAACAAGTGACAGTTCTAAACTAAGTCTATGTTCAGACTGCACCTGAAGTGACCCAAATCCGATTTTTTGGCCCCTATGTTCCTGTATCTGATCTTTTAATGTCAGTCTGAACCACACAGATCCGATTTTTTTCAAATGTGACCCAGGACACTTGGATATGTGCTCCTGAAACTGATACATATCTGATCTTTAACATGTGACTTCAGTGTGAACGGTTCATCCACCTACACGTTATCAACAAGACACAAACGTCACTATTCTGCGCTGAAGTAGGAGAAAACTGTTCAATGAACTCTGTGTGACTGAAGTGAAGCACATCTCCACTCACCACAAAACACCACGACCAAAAACCTCGTCCTTCTCCTTCTCAATCTCCTCCTTAAAACAAGTAAGTTGTTCATGTTCTGGCTCCGGTACGAGAGGAACTTTAAAATCTCCAGGTGCTCGATGCTGCGTCCATGTTTGGACAACTTCTGTAAACACAGAGACGCTCGCTGCGGTTGACGTCGTCGTGTCTCCAGTGTCACATGTGGGACACTTTTGGACCGTTTAATGTTCACACTGGAGTCACATACAAGTCACATTTAACTGGAAATGTGAACGACCTCGAAAAAACATCAGATTTCACACAAAATAATCTGAATTGTGCATTAAGCCCTGCAGTCTGAACGTAGACTAAAAGTCTGGTTTTCCTTTAACCACAGTTTCAGGTGGGATTTGAAAGTGTCCAGTGTTGGAGTTTCTCTTATTGATAATGGGAGAATGTTCCAGAATTTAGAGCCTCTGACTGAGACACACTTCGTCCGAGCTCACAGTTCCCCCGGGACGTGGCTCTAGTTCCCACTGACGGTCTTTACTTTAATAAAATCCTGGGTAACACTTTATAATAACTACACCTTTTTTAGCCTTAATAAAGCATGAATAAAGGCTTAATTAATAATGAACAAAGACTTAATTAATAATGATTCACGCTTAGTAACTACTTAATTACTACCTCAATTAGCACTTGCACTTAATTTGCCTGTGCTGTAAATAGTTACTCATCATTATTTCATACTTAATTACTCATGAAGTAACCATTTGAGCATTTATTAATCATTAGTAAACTATGACAGAATGATTTACTAATAATGTAATGCAATGATAATTCAGGCAACTATTATCTGTTAGTTAAGTCTTTTTGAGAGCTTTTCTAAAGTGAAGACAAATTATGCTTTATTAAATATTTACTAAGCCTGAATCATTATTAATTAAATCTTTGTTCATTATTAATTAAGTCTTTGTTCATGCTTTATTAAGGCTAAGTAAGGTGTAGTTATTATAAAGTGTTACCAAATCCTGTAACGGAGGGGGGCAAGTCCATGCAAAACTTTATAGATAAAACATCCATATTTAAAATCAACAAAAATATTAAACTTATTTTCTCCGCTAAAAGCTTTAGTTCTGCTGCGCGACAAATAAACAGTGAACAGTTTGGTGTGATGACGTCATTCAGCCGTGGTTTGTTTAGGTTGTGAAGGTGTGAGTGCGGGACATAGAGCACTACGTAATCATGCTTGAGCACGGCTCGGTTCTAAAGTCCAAGTGTGAGTGTTCTCTTAAATTAGGGATGGGCATTCGATGAAATTTTCTTAATCGATCGTAGAGAGAATTAACGATCGATTATCGATTAATCATTAAAGTTTTTATATTAAAATGATCATCATTATTATTACTATCTGCACTAATCTGCATAAATAAATTCAACTTTACAACATATAAACATAACGACTCTAGATCCACATCAGCTGTTTGACATTATAATGTGTTTAATTCAGTTTTGTTCAAATCTCACAGAAACAAAACTTAAAACCACATCACTAATTTACATAAACTCAGCGAAGATAAAACTCCAGCTCTTGTGTCGCTGATGTGGTTCAACTTGTGTTGGATTAAAAGACATGACTCAGGTGAATACAGGTCAGTGTGACCAGATTTGTGTTTGTCAAAACCAGGACAGCGTACGGGGGGAGGGGGGCGGGGCCTCGTCATCCACATTGAGCGACTCTCACCTGGAAAAACTTTTCCCCACTGGACACAGAAACATATGTGCTGCTTTATCCACTGTGCACATGGACTCACACTTGTCCCAACGCAACGGAAAGTGTGGAATTTCTTGTCCAAATCCTGGTTAAATCCACATTTGTGCTTCGGTTCGTTACAGACTGACCCACTGTTTGTGTCTCGCTCCTTCTGATGCAGAGACACATGTACACACCTGTTTGGTCACGACACACAAGCAACCTGCATTCGGTTTGTTGATTAAAATTTACGTAATCGATGAAATTCTTAATGATCAATTATCGATTAATCGACTAATCATGCCCATCCCTATCTTAAATCCATCCTTGTTTATGTTGTTAATCCAGTTTTGGTTAAATGTCTAAGAATCTGCTTTATGTCGTTTCAGGAATGGACCACATCGTTTTCAAGGTGGAGATCTTGTCCAACGAGGACCGGGAGTGGCACGAGTCCCTGTCCTTGGTCCTCGGTCCCGACGACCCGGTGGAGGCGGTGCTCGGAGACATCACCGTGGCAACAGTGACCATCCTGGACCAGGAAGCAGCGGGCAGCCTCATCCTCCCCGCCCCGCCCATCGTGAGTGCACAGACTGAGACCTGCACAAACTTTACTCATCCACAAGTAAAATGAGTTGAACACTGAAAACAGAGAGAAATAAAAAATAATAATAAACAGGTCCGACTGAAGCACAGACTCTGTACTGCGTCTGTGAACACATCTGACACATATGTACTGTTTATCTGTGTATCTGAAGTACTACACTGGGTACTTAATCTGTACAGGTAAATTAAATATGACTTTGGTCCTGAAGACGACAACTCCTCAAACGCTCAGTAGTTGTAGTAGCACCAGTTGTTGTTGTTGTTGAAGTAGAAGTAGTAGTAGTAGTAGTAGTAGTTGTAGTGTAGTTAGTAAGAAGTAGTAGTATAGTAGTAGTATAGTTGTTGTAGTAGTAAGTAGTAGTAAGTAGTAGTAGAAGTAATAGTAATAGTAGTAGTTATGGTAGTAGTAGTAGTTGTAGTAGTACCAGTTGTTGTTGTTGTTGAAGTAGTAGTAGTAGTAGTCGTAGTAATTGTAGTAGTACTAGTAGTGGTGGTAGTAATAGTAGTAGTATTAGCCGTAGTTGTAGCAGTACTAGTAGTAGTATTATTTGTAGTAGTAGTAGTGCTAGGAGTGCTAGGAGTAGGAGTAGGAGTTGTATTAGTTGTAGTACTAGTTGTTATAGTAGTAGTAGTAGCATTAGCTGTATTTGTAGTAGTAATAGTATTAGTAGTACTACTAGTAGTAGTAGTAGTAGTAGTAGTAGTAGTAGTAGTAGTAGTAGTAGTAGTAGTAGTAGTAGTAGTAGTAGTAGTAGTAGTAGTAGTAGTAGTAGTAGTAGTAGTAGTAGTAGTAGTAGTGTAGTAGTAGTAGTAGTAGTAGTAGTAGTAGTAGTAGTAGTAGTAGTAGTAGTTGTAGTTAGTTAGTAGTAGTAGTAGTAGTAGTATAGTAGTAGTAGTAGTAGTACTAGTTGTTAGTTAGTTAGTTATAGTTAGTAGTTGTAGTAAGTTGTGTTAGTGGTAGTGAGGTATAAAATTGTGTTTTGTGTTTGTGTGTTTATGTTGTGTGTTTGTGTTGTTATTGTGTTATTGTTTGTTGTTTTGTGTTGTGTGTGTTGTGTTGTGTGTGTTGTGTGTGTTGTGTGTGTTGTGATTGTGTTGTTGTGTTGTGTGTGTTGTGTGTGTTGTTGTGTTTGTTGTGTGTTATTGTGTTGTGTGATTGTTGATTGTGTTTTGTGTTGTGTGATTATTGTGTGTTGTGTGTTGTGATTGATTTGTGTTGATTGTGTTTTTGTGTTGTGTTGTTGTGTGTGTGTGTTTGTTGTGTGTGATTGTGTGATTGTGTGGTTGTGTGTGTGTTGTATGTGTGTTGTGTGTGATTGTGTTGATTGTGTTGTGTGTTGTGTTGTGTTGTTGTGTTGTTGTGTGTTGATGTTGTGTTGTGTTGTGTTGTTGTGTTGTGTGTTGTGTTTGTGTTGTTGTGTTGTTGTTGTGTGTGTTGTTTGTGTGTGTGTGTTTGTTGTGTTGTTTGTGTGTGTGTTTGTGTTGTTGTGTTGTGTGTTGTGTTGTGTTGTTGTGTGATTGTGTGGTTGTGTGATTGTGTGATTGTGTGTTGTTGTGTTGTGTTGTTGTGTGATTGTGTGATTGTGTTGTTGTGTTGTTGTTGTTGTGTTGTGTGATTGTGTGATTGTGTGTGTGTTGTGTTGTGTTGTTGTGTGTTGTGTTGTGTTGTGTTGTGTGTTGTTGTGTTGTGTTGTGTGTGTGTGTGTGTGTGTGTTGTGTGTTGTGTGTTGTGTTGTTGTGTTGTGTTGTTGTGTTGTGTTGTTGTGTTGTGTGTGTTGTGTTGTGTGTTGTGTTGTGTTGTGTGTTGTGTTTGTTGTGTTGTGTTGTGTTGTTGTTGTGTTGTGTGATGTGTTGTGTTGTATTGTTGTGTTGTTGTTGATTGTGTGGTTGTGTTGTGTGTGTGTGTTGTGTTGTTGTGTTGTTGTTGTGTTGTGTTGTTGTGTTGTTGTGTTGTTGATTGTATGTATTTGTTTGTGTTGTTGTTGTGTTGTTGTGTTGTTTGTGTTGTGTGTTTGTTGTGATTGTTGTGTTTGTTGTGTTTGGTTGTTGTTTGTGTGTTTGTGTGTTGTTTGTGTTGTTGTTGTGTGTGTGTGTGTGTGTGTGTTGTGTTGTTGTTGTGTGTTGGCGTGATTGGTGTGTGGTAGTTGGAGGTGGTGTTGTGTGGACCCGTGATGTGTGGTTGTGCCCCTGGGTGGTGTATGACCCGCAAAGTGGGTGAAGGAACCCGAGGCCGGTGGCCAACCCAAAGCACCTTTGAAGTGGGAAGTGAACACCAACGGAGCCCGGTCCCCGTTTGAGACGGTCACCGACACTACTCCCTACACCAGTGTCAATCATATGGTGAGAAAAAATGCACTCTGTTCAATGTCAAGGCTTTTGATTAATGAAGTTATACTGAATGAATGAATGAATGAATGAATTCATGAGGAAATGATGCACTTTTCAACATTAAGGTTCTTATAAATTAAGTTATGAATGAATGAAGTTATGAATGAAGTTATAAGTGAAATTATGAATGAATGAAGTTATGAATGAATGAAGTTATGAATGAATTAATTAAGTTATAAGTGAAGTTATGAATGAATGAAGTTATAAGTGAAGTTAAGAATGAAGTTATAAATGAATGAAGTTATAAGTGAAGTTATGAATGAATGAAATTATGAATGAATTAATGAAGTTATAAGTGAAGTTATGAATGAATGAAGTTATAAGTGAAGTTATGAATGAAGTTATAAATGAATGAAGTTATAAGTGAAGTTATGAATGAATGAAGTTATAAGTGAAGTTATGAATGAAGTTATAAGTGAAGTTATGAATGAAGTTATAAGTGAAGTTATGAATGAAGTTATGAATGAATGAAGTTATGAATGAATTAATGAAGTTATAAGTGAAGTTATGAATGAATGAAGTTATGAATGAGTGAATTAAGTTATAAATGAAGTTATGAATGAGTGAATGAAGTTATAAATGAAGTTATGAATGAATGAATGAATGAAGGTATACGTGAAGTTATGAATGAAGTTATAAATGAAGTTATGAATGAGTGAATGAAGTTATGAATGAATGAATGAATGAAGGTATACATGAAGTTATGAATGAAGTTATAAATGAAGTTATGAATGAATGAATGACGGTATACGTGAAGTTATGAATGAAGTTATAAATTAAGTTATAAATGAATGAATGAAGTTATAAATAAATAAAGTTATGAATAAAGTTATAAATGAATGAGTGAAGTTATAAATGAATGACGTTAAAAATGAATGAAGTTGAAAATGAAGTTATAAATTGAATCATGAATGGAGTTATAAGTGAATGAATGAAGTTGTAACTGAAGTTATGAATGAATGAATTAAGTTTTAAATTAAGTTATAAATTAAGTTATGAATGGATAAAACTGCGATGCTGAACCAGGACTAAACCGTTTTCAGTCCTGATCTCGTCCCGGTCTAAGTCCTGGTCTCAGTCCCAGTCTGGTTCTGGCATGGTCCTGGACCTGGTTCAGTCCTGGTTTAGTCCTGGTTCAGTTCGACATCGCAGTTTAAGTCACAGAAACGAGAAATCTGTTTTTTTCTATTTTTTCATTTAAACACAGAAACGAAAAGTGAAAAAAACAAATCATTATCCGTTTTTAAATTTTGGTTTTGGAGACAAATAATGAAGAAAATTGTTTTGTTTTGTTTTTTGGTTTTATTTTCAAAAACAAATGAACGAATGATACGTGGATTATGTTCCGAGGGGGATGATACTCGCCCTTGTACTTTTTCTTAATTAATTTTTGTTTGTCCAGCTTCTGATAAAAGAAACTCTCATGGACATTTCAAACATTAATGGAAATCTGTAAAACACTTCAGCTTGAATTGAGAGACATTTTTAGGAATTTTAGGGAAAAAAAGTCCGAGTTTTCCGTGTTATAACCCTCACTCTCTGCTCTGCGTCAGGTGCTGGACAGTATCTACTTCTCTCGGCGGTTCCACGTGCGCTGCGTGGCTCAGGCTCGGGATAAGGCCGGACACCTGGGGACCCCCCTGAGGAGCAACATCGCCACCGTGGGGACGGAGGGCGCCATCTGCCACACGCCGGTCACCACGGGAACGGCACGAGGCTTCCAGGCGCAGTCCTTCATCGCCACGCTCAAGTACCTGGACGTCAAGCACAAAGAGCACCCCAACAGGTCAGAGCTGCGGGCGTCAGGCAGAGTTTAGTGCTCAGAACGAGGAGCGACGTCTTCTGCACAGAGAGGTGGAGGTTTGATTCCCGCAATAACCAGTGTCTATGAGCAAGACACTTCACCTATCTTCAAATCAAATCAAACTTTATTTATAAAGCGCTCCACATGGAGTCCACACAACCAAACAGCCCAGACACACACACACTAATATGCAGTGTTGGGAAGTTTACTTTTAAAATGTAATCCCCTTCAGATTACAGATTACACACACCAAAATGTAGTTTGTAACGTAATCCATTAAATTACTTAAAGTGCGTAATGTAATCTGAATACTTTGGATTACTTGATTTGCTGTAGAGAAGCAAAGACGAGGAAATCTTCACATTTGTCTGCTAAAAGAAAATGAAAAGCCCAGACTTTCCTCAACCGTATTAAAAATATTATTGATAGAAGAAGAGGAAACATGTCCGCGCAGCAGGATTTAGTCCTGTTAAATCCTGTTTTAGTCCTGTTTTAGATCTAGTTTAGATCTAGTTTAGACCTGGTTTTAGTCCTGGTTTAGTCCTGGGTTTAGTCCTGGTTTAAACCTGGTTTAGTCCTGGTTTAGATCTAGTTTAGACTTGGTTTAGTTTCTAGCAATGAGTGGAATTACCAAAAAAAAAAAAAAAAGAAAGGAAAAAAAAAGGGGGGATATAACCCAAAATGTGAAAACAGGAAAACAGGAAAATATCGCCATATAATCCATTTATTTCAACAAAGTAACTGTAATCCAATTCCCACTCACTGAAACAGTAACTGTAACTGAATACAGTTACTCATCATTTGTACTCTGATTACTTAACTCCAGTACATGTAATCTGTTACTCCCCAAAACTGTTACACAAAACTACCTATAGTAAAATGTTGAGAAAAGCAGCATCAGAGGAGCCGTCAACACCAGGAGCAGAGAGTCGTCCACCACCACCAGGAACCACCACAGGAGCCCAAGCACCACCCCTCCACAGAACAGACCCGGCAGCCACAGCCGACCACCACTCCTGATGCAGAGGCTCCTACAGAGGAAACACTGGAAATCCTAAAAATATGCCTAAAATAAATTAGGGATGGGCATGATTAGTTGATTAATCGATAATTGATCATTAAGAATTTCGTCGATTACATTCATTTTTAATCGACAAACAGAATGTAGGTGTAGGGTGACCAAACATCCGTTTTTCCACGGACATGTCTGTTTTTGGTTCTGTCCTGGCCGTCGGGGTTTATTTTTTATAAAGTGATGCAAATGTTCGAGTTTTCATTTCCTTTCGTTGGCCCATTAAACTGAGCGTCTCTCGTAGCGTCTGTAACTCAGAAGGAGCGAGACACAGACAGTGGGTCAGTCTGCAACTCGCCGAAGCACAAATGTGCATTTAACAATGACTTGTACAAGAAATTCCCTGCTTTCCGTCCCAGTTGAAACAAGTGTGAGTCCATGTGCACAGTGTACAAAGCAGCACATATGTTTCAGTGTCCAGTGTCTCAGGCTCAAATTAAATTTTAGTAACAGGGAAAAATCTGATATTTGGGGAAAATGATAATATGGGGTATTAATATACAATCCAGACTTTTTGTTTGAGAGACACTTTCACATCCAGTGTGTCTGGGATGTTGCAGATTTGCAGCATTGGTCCGGTTTGGTAAATTAACACTGAAGACTGAAAAT